ACCCTTTCCCAGCTCTGTAATTATATAAGTTGCAACAGAATTACAAAATAAGCAAACGTGTGATTGTGGAGCTAAAATTCTGATCACAAATTACAGATGTGATAGACAAATTTAGATGACATTTACACTTTCTGAATAAGGGGGGTGATTTGACCTTTGCCACAATGTTTTAAAAGCTTAGATTTTGGAATATGGCATATTAATAATTATTAAATTAGGTAAAAAATTCATCAGTATAGCCAGTTCTAATTTAAAACTATTTTTAATGAGAATGAAACTAAGAAATTGTCTACTAGCATGAATCAAACTCAAATTAAGGAAAAAATCTTAACAACGTGACATCTAGTGGCTGCACAGCGACATGACTGAAACCCCCAGAGCAAGGCTGTGCACAACCTGGGAAGTGCAAGCCAATACAGGTGCAGCAACAAAAGCAAATGTCATGTACTTTTGAAGGGAAAATACCTGAACATGGCTTTAAAAAACCTCTTCTGTTAGCTGGCACTTGTCTCTCAGAGGACAGTGCATCCCTGGAACACAGGGCAAGTGATGTTCTAACATGAGAAGTGGATCCCACTTCACTCTGTGAAATACTAAAATTTACTTCAATGGAGAAGTATTTCTGACCCTAAATTTTAATTCCGGATTTAATACCAACTCTCTGAACGTAATTCCTCTTGGCTTGAGTTTTCCCACCTGCAAACTAGGGATAATGCGGGGAAAATATTCAAGTGTGGCTTTCCAGCAGTGCTTTAGGTCAGTTCTTACAAAATGTTTGCCATTTTCAGATGGAAAATGCTACTAAGGGCATTTAACAAAGCAGTCTTACAATGACAGGTAATTGAATTGATTATGCACAGGAGATTGTGCCGGTGCAATACAGCTGCCCTGTGTTTTAGGCAAAGTCCAGTTTACATGAGTAGACACAAGGGGCATCAGCCAGCAGACCTGATCAGTTGTGATCATGTCAACGGACACAACTGTTTGAGAGACACCTGGAATTATGGTGCTTCTGCTCTCAACAATGCACAGAGCAGTATGATGCTGCCAGGAATAGGAATATTTCCCATCTTTCTGTTCTACTGAGAACTTTTTCTCCCAGGTTTATTAAAATTTTTATTTATTATTTCATTTTTAATTGTTAGCACAAATTTTGCTGCTTTTGGCATTTTCTGTGTATCAAAGTTTCCCTTCTCTTTTTCATACAATTCCAGCTTGAGGGAACGTAAGGAGAGTAGAATTTGGTGGTATGAAATGCTGAAATAGTACAAATTTCAGCAATGTTGGAAATGTCTGTTGCTCCTTAGTTTGAATATGTAGTAATTTTATTTTTTTAAATTTTTTTCATTCCATGTGCATTCATCAACTTTGAGTCTCTCCAACAATGGCAACTTAATATTAATAAGTCACGTTTGCCAGTAGCACTGAGGTTTGTATGTTGCCAAGAGCAGTTTTACACAGAGGATATATGTTCCAGGGTTCTTAAATATAATCAACTTAAAATATTACTAGAACTTACTACATTTCCTATTCATATGTAACAAAACTATGATTGTCTTGGAGACAATTTATGCAGGAAAATACATGATTTTTTTCCTAGAAAGCAAAATACTGTTAAACAACCTTGCACACTATGGATTGGTACATGGTACATCTCTTATTATAAAGATTTAATATTTCCATAGTAAGTTTCAATGATAAACTGTAAGGGCTGGCACTAAATAAGTTTTAATGACAGAAAATAGATTTGCGCCTCTATATGGACAGACAACTGATTTCCTCAGAGGCAAAAAATACCAGATGACATTTCAGGACAGATTGACAGGCTGTGTTTGTACAGAATTAATCTCAGGTAGAAGTGTTTTGTGCAACTGTGAATGCATGGGGGTTTAGAGGGAAGTCTGTAGGAATCATACAATTTAGGAGGGCTGTAAACACACACTCCATAGAATTGGGAATCCAAACTCCATGGAGTTTTATCTTCAAGTGTGAGTCCAAGAGAGACACTGATTTTCATCTACCCTGGTTCTCCCCAGCTCCTCACCCTTCTCTCCCTTTATCCAGTATCAGATTATAAGTGGAAGCAAAGGCTTCATGTTGGGCCTCAGCAAAAGCCCCAATTCCAATTCTTCAAGTCTCTGTCAGGATTTTACTTCTTGGTTCTGGCCTAGTGGTTGATATGCTGAGGTGCTAGATGAGTAATTCACTTTTAACTAGGGTTATGGAAACAGAGCAGGGGAATCAGTTTGTAAAGACTACCTACAGAGTATGTTGTAGTAGTAGCCAGGGAATAACCTAATGCTGGAAAACACAGATAAATTACTTTCTGGTACCACAGTCTTCTCAGTGTTTCTATAAAGCAGAAGCCAATGACTACTGTGTTAAGGACTTGAAGCATACTGGCAAATAATCATGATAGGGCAAATTAGGACATCTCACAGTCCAGTCTTCACATTCCTTCTTAAACAAGAGGAAGAAGCAATTTATTGCATTCTGTCATTAGACAAATATTCAGCTCTCAAATGTAACAGTACTGTTTTATTGAAACTTGTAGACATCAGCCTGCACTCTCCATATGTTCAGGGTTTTACAAGCTGTTTCCATTACAAAAAGAAACCAATTCTGAAGCCAGATAGTTAATTGGTTAAATCCTTTTTATTTACCAAAAACTGTAGGTGAAACACTGTTCCCTTCAATAGAGTAGGCAGATTCCTTGTTCACGCTTCCACACCTTTTCTAGAAACCACTCTGATTATAAAGCTTTCTCTGAGGATGATTCTTCCATGGTTTCTTTACAATTCTGGTTTGGTTTATTTATTATTTTATTTTATTTTATTATTGCATTGCATTCGTTAGGGCAAGAGCAGTGTTTTTCAGCCATAAAGAACTGCTAAATCCAACCCTTTAAAAAGATCTGTTCATTTCTGCTGTATTCTGTGAGAATGAATTTCCTAGGTAGTCTATATTTTGCATGGAGTACTTATTGATACTAATCATGGATTAGTAGAAAGCATAACTTGCACTGTCTGTATAGTTAATGCAAGTGTTGAAAAGTTTCTGTAATCAGAAGAATATGCTCCTGGTTTTGTTTGTTTGTTTGTTTTTCTTCAGGATGAGTTAAGACAGGACAAAACACTTATGAATCCTCTGGCCAAATTATATGATTTAACATGCTTCTCAAAAGGAAGAGATATTATCCTGTGAGTTTTATGGTGGGAAAAGCTGTCTGTAATAAAAGTTTCAGGACACTAGTTTGTCCAGCTGCAGTTACTCTTCAGGCAGAAATTGCCCCATGTATTATTCAGGTTGTCACATCAGTCTTAAATCCACTGAAAGACATTAAATTATAGATTTGCACATTTCAGTTTATGTTAACTGATAGTGAGGGTCAGTGTTCAAGTTGTTTTCTTAATTTTTAATGGCATCAGCTCAGTGACATGAAAGTTGAATCAGTGGAAGAGATTGATTTAGGAACTCTCAAGGGTCCCCCCAGACTCCCATTCTTCACCATGCTGGAAGTAATCTGCAGTACAAATGATGGTCTCCATTGCAGGTAGGAGCTGTGACTGCACCACACACAGGCTTTCTGTATAGCACACTTGGGAATCAAGAGCCTTTTGCACAGGTTAGCTGCTGGAGTCACTTGACTTCCCAAAAGACTCATGGCCTATGCCACTGCTACTATTAGCATCCCAAACAGCAGCTGTAAAACCTAGATTGTACCTGGTGCAGTCACACCTTCTGTTGGCACTGTGGAGGAACACAGATGGAGCAGCTGCTGCTTACCTACCCTTCCTAAGCACCAGTGCTGCACCACAGCCTGCCTTTTAGCAGCTGTTACAAGACAGGAACAGGAGGTCCAGCAAATTAAGCATAATTTGAAAGTGTGCAGTCCTTTCTATATAATGTCTGTCTTATCATTCTTTCACTCACTCCATAGTGGCTTTATGTGTGAAAAGACAGCCTGTTTCCTCTTCAAAAGAGAAAGGAGAATTTCAGAATTGCTGAATATTTCTTGTGAGGCAAATCCAAACATACAGGGCCCCATTAGCGATCACAGTGGTGTAACTGCTATTGTGGAGAAGTTAATTTTAGATTTTTAAAAAATAAAACCAGACCATTTTGTTTGACTTTTCAGGGCTTTGTAACCAGCAGAGGCTCAAGTGCATTTCAGAGAGATATTTTTTTTACTCATACTTCTGTTCTGTGGAGTGCTGCTCTGTAAACTGGTGGAATAGGCCAAAGTCATACTGCCAGCTATGGTCTTGTCTCAACCCCTTTTTACTAAATGTTCTTTGAACACTGTTTAATCTCATCTTTCCTGCACACATGGTGCACCTTTTCTCTGAAATACAGGGTGTGTGTTTCCCAGTCTGGTGAGCAGTCTTGTCTCTCTGGGACTAGCTCTGAGGAACATCTCTGTTGGTTTTGGAGCTATACTCTGCCTTGTAAATTATGAGAAAGTAAGTACTATGGTGTTTTTTATGGTATTTTTAAAATCAGTACCTGATGCTCCAGTTGATCTTGTTTCTACGTAAGATGCTTTTTTTGCTAACTAATAATGGACTGTGAGTTTTCCTAGCTGACTGTTAAGAAATCAATGTATTGAAGTAAAGCGGTTACACAATTGTCTTAAAATTTAGAGGCAGCAGAGTGCATTTCAGCGGGCAGAATTTAAAGTAATTAGTTCTGTAAAAGAAAAAAGGCAAGCCTGAGGGTATAGCAATTCCTTTATACTCACCTCTCCTGGAAAGTTCTTTTGCATCACCATTCAGCTGATTGATACTATGTGGGAGGAAGGGTTTTAATTAGAAAGGTGCAGCTGAAGGCTCAGTTTACACTGCTAGACATGTGCAACTTTGTTGAAATGGAGTCCTGTGCAGGGAGCTTCCTTGTAGACCCCTGTAGCTCATGTTATTTCCCAATGCCTACTGAAGCCCCTCCATCTTCTATCCTCTATGTGCATTACTGAACAAACAGGTAGAGCAAACAAAAAGTACCTTTGACTCTTCAGACACAGGCAGTACTTGTTTGCGATAGGAGTTGGCCAGCTTCATGTCATCCAGTTCTTCATGGACATGCTGCTGCCTACACCGATAATCTCCAGAAGGCCACTCTGTGTCAGATTTTCTTACTCCATCTCTGTAATTCAAATGGAAAACATTTCATGTGTAGTATTTCACATCTTAGCATTCCTTGGGGAACCTGAAGTGTAGGTTAGATAGTTCACAGAGTCTGAGGTCTAAAGATGCTGACAGGTGTCCTTTTAAGATGGATTTAGTCCATAACGTGTCTCAACTAACCTGACTGAGGGGAACAGAAGGTTTATGGAGTCCCAGTTTCTGCTTCACCATTTGAGTTGCAAAAGCAATTGCAGTATATTTCACATCGAAAGACAGTGAATAATTCTGTCCTCCGTGGTAGAATTCTGTCTACTTTAGTAGTGCTTTTGTAGTGAGGAATGTCCAACCTTTAGTATCCAGCACAGAGAAATGAAAATTATATATGCAAGTATTTTGACAGCTTGTATAGCATCTGGCAAATGATGTGTAGGAAGGCTTGTTCTCTTGTCTGTGTACAAGCTAAACACTTACTAGTTCCCACCTGTTAAAGATGAAATACTGTATAATGAAATTTAAAGTATTAGAAGCTCTTAGGAGAAATCTTTTTATTTTGTATCTGTCTCATATTTTATTATGCTATGAGGATACACCAAAAATGTCAAGACAGGACTTAAAATGTAATCTTAACTCTCACACTAGACATTAACTTGAACTTTGTGTGAATCCAAGGGAATGCAAATATTTATTTATTTATTTTAATGTTGGTTGGCCAAGCTGTCTATAATTAGCTAAAGAACTGAATAGCACATCAGTATTAATGAAAACCTTATAAAATATTAGTACTAACCAATCTTTAACTTCAGTAAGTATTAGAATCCTGTAGTAGAACCTTTAACAGTTATTTTCTACCACAGAAACTAAATAGGAATGATGAAAATTGTAGTGCATGGTTTAAATGTTGTAGGACCAGTGAGATATGTATGTGGGTAATGTACTAAACAGAAGAAAGTACAATCCGAGAAACCATACCTTTAAATTAAGCTTATGATTAAATATTTTTTAATTGGAATAACTTCCCAAGCATTTAAGGCCATGTAGCAAGAGGACAAGGGGTAGTGGCTCAAAACTGGAAGAGGGGAGATTTAGATTAGACATTAGGAGGAAATTCTTCACTATCAGGATGGTAAGACACTGGAACAGGTTGCCCAGAGAAGCTGGGGATGCCCCTTCCCTGAAAGTGATCAAGGGCAGGTTGGACAAGACTTGGAGCAACCTATTCTAGTGGAAGGTGGCCCTGCCCATTCAGGGGTGTTGGAACCAGGTGATCTTTTAGGTTGCTTCCAACCCAAACCCATGATTCTGTGATTTCCAGAAGGGAGAATAAACTGTTTGCTGACATCCCATTATTATTGAATTCTGTAATGGATTATAAACAGAAAATTCTGAAACTAATATTTCTGAATTTCTCATGTTAAAGCTATATAGCAATTCATCATTTGATAGGGAATATAGATAATCTAATTAGGTTATTTTGGAATATATTGAATGTGGAAGTTATTCAATAAGAATGCTTTCTAATCCTAGAAATGTGCCTGTATGAGCTACATCAAGTATGTATGCCTGTTTCAAACCCTGTTCCATTCTGTTCCTGAATACTCTTCCAGATTTCCTGGGCTGACTTTGGCCATTACTTGCTACCTTGCATTTGTCTCATGATGGCTGGGGTGCTGGTGGAACCAGCCACTGTCCAAGCTATGCTCTGCTTGTCCCAACCAGCTGCCACAGGTGGCAATCCTGTCTGTGCTGTAGTTGCTCACAGCTTCTCTCACCAGGCAGCTCTTCCCTTGACAGTGAGTTCAAGAAAGGATGGAAAGATTCCTATAAAGGAGCAGGGGAATTCATAGAAAGCTGCAAAAAACCCTCAAACATAGAAAGTGAGGGAAGAGGTACTAGAAAGCATCAGGAATCTCTCCAGAAAGCAGGATGTGGATTCCTAGAAAGTTCAGTGAAAGTCTGAACAAAGTGTAGGAAATCCGTGGGGAGCCTCAAAACCAGATTTTCATACCTATGACTGATGAATGCACCATAGAGCTTGACCTGGCTAAAGGCATTTAAAATATTGGCCATGTTGAATAGTTACAACCCCACATATTAATCTCTTGTGGCATATTCCTGCTAGATAGGAAGTTCCTCATTGCAAATAAATTCTGTTTTAAGTCACCAGGCTTTTAATTCAGCCTTTCTTGCAAATGCGTCACTCCAAGAATCTGCAGTTTTCACTGTATTTGCTGTTTCTGTAAATCTTTGCACAGCATCTATTGATCCAAAAGGAAGTTAATTGGAAATACAGAGCAACAGGCATGAACATGGTCCCAGAAGAGCATTCTTTGTCTGATGCTGAACTGTTAATCTTTATTATTCTTGGAAAACATTCTCCAGACTTCCACATTGTGACATCTTCAGATGCCAAGTGAAGGCAGAGTCTTTTTTTTATACCGAATCTCATGTTTTTCCTGAAGACTGTTCCTATTCAGCCAATCATTTTAGGTAAACATTGTAAGTCAGGTTCATGTAAAGCTAAATCCATACTCTGTTGACTTGGGGCTTTTTACATTTTTTACATTTGCAAGGGCTGGGTAGATTCAGAGGTCAGAGTCCATGTCTAAGGCCATGGATGCCATACTGATTCACAGGTCTGTGGCCTGTGATGTGGTTCTCTGAATGAATAACAACTCACCCTGCAGATCTGCAGCCTCTCTGTGATGTTTCAGTGACTTTTTATACTGACATAATAAGGCTTTGTAGGCTGCTCCCAGGTTTTGTAATGGAATAGCTCTGATGACAGTGAGGGAGGGGGTTTGTCCTTTGCTTGCAGATTACCATGGCAGTTTGCAAATATTAGTTTTCAGGAAAAGAAGCTTTCATAGGAAGGAGATGTATTTACAGAGAGGTTTTTTTACTCTGTGATACTGGTTTTGAAATGGGTGCAGGACTGAGAATGCCACATGCTGCAGTAAGGTAACTAGCATTCAACCCCCAGATGTTTAGTCAAGAATTATAAATAGAAGCAACAAGTAACAGCATGTTTTTACTTTGTGAACACAAAAGTTTTCACAGGACAGCCCAGCCCCCAAAGTGAAGCAAAATGATGGTGTCAGCTGGGTGTTCCTTGGCCAATTAACTTCAGAAATAAGGTGAGGCTAATTAGCCCCAGCTGAAGCCTTATTAGACTAAAAAAATTAGTCTGTAGAACTCCTGGGACCCAAGCTAGTATCTTCAGCCAGGCATGCAAAAGTGTGGTACTGCCTTTGGAGAACTGCAACTTTTTAAGATAACAAATCCTACCTCAGGACACAGGTATGTGCCTTCAGTTAAAGGCTTTAGCACTTCTACTTTTGAGAATTTTTGCTCCAAGTCATAAAGTCTTCTCCCTTCCTCCCTCTGGACCACAGCTGCATCTTATTTTCTTTGCCTTTTGGCAAGTATGGCTGGTCAGCCTAAAAAAAGCAGAGAAGGAGTCTCCTGCATTCACAAAGTAACTGCCAGGTCTGGTGAGGGTATCTGCCTTGTGTTTTCCTGTATTTATATGCTCTAACAGCTCTTTGAGATGTTTAATGGCGTTTTAGTTCATCATAAGCAATCATAACTTTAGGAATCACTCTTTCTTTACAGATCTCATGGACTTCATTAAGCACATGACTTCATTTGTGACTTGCTTTCTGCAATATGGGCTACTCCAGTGTTGAGGAGACTTGCTCTGAAATAAAAGGTAAGTTGTTGTTTTTTTTTTAAAAAAAGCAACTTAGTGCCTGGAGTACTTAATTATTTAAAAATTTAGTCACAGCTCTTGAGAATTTTTTCTTTCTGTGTAGCAGAGGTGGTGTTTGTTTGGTGGCCTGGTTTTTGGAGGAATTTGAGAGTAAACTAAAGGCTATCTTTTATAAACAAAATTCAAACTGTGAAAGGAAATAACAAGTTATATAAATTATTTCAAGATTGAATTAATTATATTTTCTAATATATGTGCATCTTTTGATTTTTGTACCATAAGGACCTGAAAATTGTAATCACATTACAATCCTGGGAGTATTGGTTGTTTTTTTCCAAATAGGGAAGATGAATATGATATTTAAAAGTGTCTTGGAGGAGGCCTTGCCTCTGTATCTTTTAGGTCAGATATGGTTTACATATATAAGAGGGGTTAAGTAAACTGTGTCGAGATCTGCAACATGTTTTACTGAGACTAAATATGTCACCAGATCTTTTTGGCTAGCATCTGTAGAAAGTGTAAATTACTTTCAAATGAGGGCTATTTGCAGAGGGTTACCTGTTAAAAATGTTTACCTCTCTGTGTATAGTTTTCTAAGTCTGACTTGTTAACAGAAGGGCACGCAACTCCTTTAAATATTACACATTTTCAAAGAGTTTGACCAAAGCACAGTATTCTAACGGATTGTTTACTGCTAATGGTACTGGCGATTACCATGAGGTAAACAGATTAAATATTAACTCCAGAACTTTACTTGCTGTAATTCCAAGTTGGAAATTACTATTAGTATGCAAGTATATCTTGTAAATCTAGATCAAAACAATCTAGTATGAAAGGAATGACTGATTATCTATGGAATGTGTGAATTCCTCAGAAAACAGTTTTATCTAAGAAAGAATTGAGATCAAGTAGATATTTTGTGTGTGCTCATGGAGGACCTGATTCAACTCTTCTGAAAATCAGTGAGCTTACTTCCAGTAGGAATGAAGTCCTAAACTAACACACTGTACTAATTCCTGTAGCAAACATGGACCTAGTCAATCAATCATGACTGCAGCTCAAAGCCACGACCCTTTAGTGGGCTCCAAATGGTCAGGGAGATTTTTCAACAACCTAAAAACTCTCATGTAGGTCTTGCATTTGGAAATATGTGCTGTCTATTTGGTATGACTCAAGCTTCACAGCATTTTGAATTATATTTTCATTTTTGTATGTGGACTTCAAACCATGGGTAAGTTTATTTTTAATAATTTACAAAATTTAGAGAATATTTGAGTGTGCTTTTTATATTCTTACATGTATTCAAACCATTAATAAGTCCCTTGTAATCACTGTTATTAAAGGTGAGGCACATTTGTGAGAACAATATTTGAGTTTTAAGTCTTCTCTGAACATTGTGCAAAACAGAACTTCTGGAACATAAATATACAGGTTGTATTGTAATGTAATCTGTCAGCTATCCTGAGAACTCATTAGTTTCTCATTATATCTTTGGTCTAAACATAATTTTCTATTAAGTAATTAAACAATGAACTTGCTCTTCTGTTTCTTGTAATATGTTTAAGTATATAAAATTCTTTATTGGTAAATAGTACTGTGGAAACATTGCTCTGATTAAAAGTCATAGTAGATAAGAGAAATTAGTGTGACAAGAAATTTGTGGTCACACAAGATCAAATGCCATTTTGTAGCAATACTGGGCAATGTGCTAAGAGACTGTACATTAGATACATCTTTCAATATTAGTCTACACAATTAGTCTATCTTTCATGAAGTATAATGAAACCTTTAGGAATTTTGCCCTTTCATAGTGCTCTTCATAAGACAAGGGTGAAGAACATACAGCCCAAGTAATCTTTTTTTACTGCTTGCTTTACATAATTTTTCTTTTATTTAGTATCTACAAGCTGTTTTCTGGATGTTATTGTTGAACTGAGTGACTTTTGGACTAGATTTTTAATTCATGGGCTCTTGATTTTGCTTATTGAAACATCTATATATAAACCACATGGAAACAAGAAAACTTCAATACATGTTCAGGGCATGGAAGTCGTTTTAAGGGACTGTTTAGTTTTTCATGAGCAGATCTGACTCTCTAATTTTTTGGCCCTTCAACACTGCAGTAGGAAAAAGAAGTTATCCCTTACAAAAACCTTGGATATTGACTAAGGAGTAAACTATTAGATTAGAACATTACTGCCATGAGATATTCAGATGTGCTGTTTCAATAATGAGCACTTGCTTTGCTTTAAGAATTTTATAAAGCTTCCCAGGAGGTCAAAACAACCAGTCGGCTTAATGTAAGCTCTCCAGCTCTCCCTGGAGTATTCAGCTCATGTCGCTGTGTGGGTCACTTCACCACATTCCAGCTCCTTCCCTGCAGCTCCCTTAGCTGGTAGCTAGTGGTACAATGGCAGCAGCCCATTCCCCCAAAACCTCTTGTGTTCAAAGGTAGCTGTTCTGTCTTTAAAAATACTTCATAACTGGTGACATTTTTATTATTTTTAATAAGTACCAAAAATAACCTAAAAATAGATCTGAAGCTGGAATGTGAGCTACTTTACATGGATTAATGTGTTTATTAAAAATCTAGGGATTTTGGATAGTTTTGTGAGATACACATGACCTTCTTATGGTACTCCCCAGAGATACTAGTCATACTGTCTAAAAGCAGCATAAAGTAGTTCAGTCTCAAACAATATAATTAAGGGCACTTTGAGCCTGGCAATAGGATATGATCACAGTAGTCCTGCTTAAATAATCTTTCCAAGCATACCAGAGCTGTCAAATATTGCAATTATTGGTGCAATTAGTGCAAGGGTCTATATCTCTGGATATAACTGAACTTTGTGTTTTCATTGTTGAATAGAAAGAATCAATTTCTTCTCTTGGGAAGCATATGCTAAACACTAACCTCTGTAACAAGAGACCCCCATCTGCCTCTAAAGTTGTGCATGTATTATGGTTTACGGGATGTCTTATCCAGTCATAAAAAACAGCCATCACTGGGAGCATTCACTGGAAGCCATGTCATGGGCAGTCTCAGCAGAGAGGTCAAGGACTGCACAGATGGTGTAGGCTGATCTTCCTCCCCTACAATAAAGGCCTATGTTTGGGGTCAAGGGCTGTGGAGCAGCACAGAGAAGCTGTAAGTTATCAGCCCCAATACTACAGGGCCTCATCATTGTGCCTGGCGTCCTACAAACCTGTTACTAAAACAATCTGCACTTAGACCTTAAAGTCGAATCATTGTCCTCCCCATGTGGGCATAGAGGACCTGAGTGACCTAAGTGTGGCATCTCCTATTTGCATTACATTTGCTCACCCTATTTCATACTTACACTGCTGCTGACTATAG